TCTGTCTAATAGGATATCTGTCTTTTAGGATGTCTGTCTGTTAGGATGTCTGTCTTTTAGGATGACTGTCTTTTAGGATTGTCTTTTAGAATTTCCCTTTTAGGATGTCTGTCTTTTAAGATGTCTGTCTTTTCAGATGTCTGTCTTTTTAGATGTCTGTCTGTTTAGATGTCTGTCTTTTAGGATGTGTTTATTTTAATATTGTCTGTCTTTTATTATGTCTGTCTTTTAGGATGTCCGTCTTTTAGGATGTCTGTCTTTTAGGATGTCTGTCTTTTAGATGTCTGTCTTTCAGGATAGACATCCTTTAAGGATGTCTGTCTTTTAGGATGTCTGTCTTTTACTATGTCTCGACACTTGAAACCTATACACACGGAGTTCGTGGCGGCTCCGTATAAACACGCAGTTCCCGGGGGCTCGGTACAAACACGGAGTTCAGCAGGCCGCCGTATAGCGTCGTAACTATGTTTTTTGAAAATTTCGAGTTATGAAGTGCGTCGGATAGAGGAAATCAAGGGCTATCGATCAGCGAAAACCGCATTTCGATATGTCAATTAGTTCAAAAGTTATTCTGGTCTGAAAATCCAGCCGCCCATAAGGCGCAATGTTAATCCAAAACTTTGAAGCGCTATATCTCAGAAGTGACTTTCAAGCACTTACGACGTTATACGGAGACCCGCTGAACTCCGTGTCTATACAGAGCTCCCTGGAACTACGGTTTTATACAAAGACTCCACGAACTCCGTGCTTTTAGGTTTCAGGTGTCGGTCTGTCTTTTAGATGTCTGTCTTTAAAGACGTTTAGCTTTTAAGATGTCTGTCTAAAAGGATATCTGTCTTTTAGGATGTCTGTTAGGATGTCTGTCTTTTAGGATGTGTGTCGTTTAGGATGTCTGTCTTTTAGGATGTCTGTCTTTTAGGATGTCTGTCGTTTCAGGATGTCTGTCTTTTAGGATGTCTGTCTTTAGGATGTCTGTCTTTTAATATGTCTGTCTTTAAGGATGTCTGTCTTTTAGGATGTCTGTCTTTCAGAATTTCTCTTTCATGATATGTCATTAAGGATGTCTGTCTTTTAGAATGTCTATCTTTTATAATGTCTGTCTTTTAAGATGTCTGTCTCTTAACATGTCTGTCTTCTAGGATGTATGTCTTTAAGGATGTTTGGCTTTTAAGATGTCTTTCTTTTAGAATTGTCTTCTAGATTGTCTGTCTTTTAGGATGTCTTTTTTTTAGGATGTCTGTTTTTTAAGATATCTGTCTTTTTAGATGTCTGTCTTTTAGGATGTGTTTATTTTAATATTGTCTGTCTTTTATCTGTCTTTTAGTATGTATGTCTTTCAGGATGTCTGTCTTTTAGGATGTTTGTCTTTAGGATGTCTGTCTTTTAGGATGTCTGTCTTTTAGGATGTCTGTCTTTTAGGTTGTCTGTCATTTAAGATATCTGTCTTTAAAGACGTTTGGCTTCTAAGATGTCTGTCTTTTAGGATATCTGTCTTTTAGGATATCTGTCTTTTAGGATATCTGTCTTTTAGGATGTCTGTCTTTCAGGATTGTCTTTTAGAATGTCTGTCTTTTAGGATGTCTGTCGATTAGGATGTCTGTCTTTTAGTATGTCAATCTTCTAAGATGTTTTCAGATGCTATAAAAGTGGCGAGGCCGCTTGATGCAGTGGCCCGCCGCTCAGCTCGTTGCCGTCTAGTTACACTCAAAATGTGGTATTCATTGTTACCATTCACAAACGAAACGATTTAAGCTGACCGCCGATTGAGTTGCGATAGGTGTAGCAGGTAGACAGAAAAATAACTACCTTAGTATGCGTCTAACTAGAATCGCTGAACCGCTGAATAGCGCGTTACGAAAAAATTATGCACATTCACAAGTTAACACATCTACTTGTTATACCTATCACTAAAATGAACACGCCATAGCGAACGAGTGAGCGAGCGACGCGAATTCTATAACGAAGAAACTCAGCATCCACCTAAAACACCACCTTTTCGGAATTGGCGCCGCGACCTCTCCCTTGGGGGTGTCTAGCTTTAGAATGCAAGGGGGCTGCCGCCCCCTTGACTCCCGCTTTTTAAACGGACCCGTTTCTACCAGACACCGCGGCGCAGGGGGGGAGGCGGAAGATCGTTCAACACGACCTGTTGCATTTTGAGCCGCATCTGGGCGACAGCCCAACAATGAACACCCTGGAGTAGTCGGCTCCCCGCGCCCCCCGCGCGCGCCGGACACACCAAAACAGTCTTGTTACTGCTTAAAAACTACTCGCCGCATTGATTTAAGACTAAACGTGTATTGAAAGCATAGAGGGACGCTAATTTTGCCGTTGCCGCAGGTGTGCGCGCGCAAGAACATGCCCATCTCCACCTCCAACTGGAAGATGCAGTTCAACTAAAGAACAGCTAACGCATCTATCTTCTACAAACAAATTTTACATGTAACAATTTTGAATTAATTCCTTTGAGTCATTTTTCTTTTATTCACAAAAGATTGCGCGAAATTGTTGCATGGAAAATTTTCTTAACTACGGGTCCGTTTATGGTTAACAAGAATTGTTAACGTTTTTTTTTTGTTGTCTAAGGTGCGTAACGGACAAATCCCCATCGAGTCAATCATAGGCGCTTCGCCTCGCGACCTCGCTAACGCTCGTTCGCTCGCTCCGCGAATAAATATAAAGTTGTGGGCGCACCAAATTTTTAGGAGCTAAAGCGCTGCCTTTGGTAATTTAACGCCCCCGTCCGGCCCTAATCGAGAAAGACCGAGGAAGAGCAAGGAGGGGTTCACGGTTTACCTTCTTCTACTGTCTTGGGGACTGTCTAAACACGTTCATGGTAACGTCAAAGCAAATGGGTTCGGTCTTCTTCCGCTCGGTTCGCCTCCCTACCGCCCCCGCCCATGCTCATCTTATGGAGAGAGGCGAGTCCTGGCGAAAGCAAACCCAACCCATAGTGGATCTTCTGGGAGTGTCCGGAACCCAGGCGGAGTAGTTTGCAACCCGCCCGGGAGGGAGCAGGTTGCTCTTGCTTCGTGTCATAGTGAGACCAGCCTGAGGTCGCGACTGAAGAAGCACATGCGATATGGGAGTTTATAAGCGGGAGGGGGTGGGGAAAATCGCGACCTTAGGCTGGTCGGCTGGTCTGCCTATAGTCTAGCCCTCCTGGCCCTGGCCTGGCCCTCTGCTGGCTGGCTGCCGGCAGTGCCGGCTCACGCTCCCCTTCGCCGTTAGTGGTTAGTTGCTGCTTCAACGTGCACAGCTGCCGTGGTGCTACAGTGGGCGCTCGCCCGAGCTAGCAGACCGGCCGCATGGGTGTGTTAGACGTCGCACGACACGCGAACGTCGTGCACAGCAGACACAACCCGCTTTTAACCTGTAAATCGTTAACAAATCTTCCTAGTTCGTTTGGTTTAGCCGAGCATAACTTTGTCCCCTGCCCCGCATATCCGCTTGCTCCTCCGCCTACAGCCAGTTGGCCCAGCATCACAAGAAATGGACTAATCGTACCAGAAGGTAAGGACTGACTGACCCAACTCCAGCCAGAAATGCTATCCCTATAAAAACGTCTAAAAGACATAGGTCTATTTTTGGACCATTTAGACGTCTAAATGGCCCAAAAATAGACCTTAGACATTGTTTAGAGGTAGCATTATACACATTTCCTGTATGTTTGGCTCATGTATTCTCTTCATACTGGAAAACAAAGGCAAACATATGGTTGTTTATTCTAGCTGGATAACTGTTTGGGTCGAACTAAATGATTGTAACTAGCTGAATCAACACCTACAATTGGGAACGTACTGTATAAATGTGATTACAATATTTAAGTGAAGTAAAAGTAATTAACTTGCCAAGCAGTACATTGCCCTAAAGAAGTCTCTTGAATCTCTCAGTCATGTCGAAACAGTTGCTAGGGTCTTTAGTTACCTGGGGAGGGATCTAATCTCACATTGTAAACTAAGATTCCATGCCTGACATCACTTTCCCAATAAATAAGAGTTAAGTGTGAGCTTTTTATCAAGATGTTTAGAGTCAAATATGAGGACATCACTAGTATTCAATTTATGTGCCGTCACATTCCTTTTCCTATGAAAACTGTCACATTCTTTTGGATGTTTCTGTCACATTGTTTTTCATGTGACTTCAGAATTACCATACCTGGCCTGGCTCAGTCATATTGAAACGAATGTCGCATCAAGACTTAACCAATGTGTCAGTTATTACATGTTAACAAATGTGACGTTACATGAATCGAATAACAGTGATCATCTTAGCTATTCCAACTTGAATGTATGACAACAATTATATTTTAATTCGTTTATTTTCCAAATTTAGACAATAACTTTTCGGAATGCTTGTAAGAGGGGTGGAATCTGAGGGTATATTTCTCAACACAAGGAATGGCTTAACACACCCATGCCCCGGGTGGGTATTCACTGCGACAAATCTTGTACCGTGTGTCAGTGTTATGACACAGCAGTGCTCGTGCTTGCGTACTCGCTCCAGCCGTTAAGCGCCTTTTGGCCGTATGGCCCCCGGAATAGGCGAACCCGACACACGGTATTCACGTTACACGTAAAAGTTTTCGCCGGCGAAGGTGCGCGGTCTTGTTTCTTAGGTCCGTTGTTGTTACAAAGCACAAGCTCCCG